GTAAAGGGTACTTTGAGCTGTTCTTATATGATTGCAGGGAAAAAATTCAGTGAAGTGGTGGGGAGCCCTCATTACATAGCACCTGAAGTGCTTTGTAACTATTATGGACCGGAGGCCGATATTTGGAGTGCCGGAGTTATAGTGTATATACTTCTATGCGGTGTTCTTCCATTTTGGGGTGGTAATAATATGATTCTTTTGTTAAAAAAAAAATAAAAAATATACACATTATTTTGTGAGATTTTGATTTCTTAAGATTGTAATGGGTTATTATTTGGTATAGATAGTGACCAAGAAATATTCGGAAAGGTTTTGAATGGCGATATTGACTTCTTGTCTGATCCTTGGCCGAATATCTCTGAATGTGCAAAGGATTTAGTGAAGAAAATGCTAGTGAGGAATCCGAAAAGGCGAATAACCGCGCAACAAATTCTCCGTAAGTTAAAAATGGCTAATTCGAAATAGCTCTGATCTGAAATTCATGGGATGGACTTGGTTTGTTTTGAGCCATACTCTGTTTTAGGCCTCAAGAGTCGAATTTCAGTTGTTCTTAGGACACTACTTATTATAGTTTTGTTTCTTTTACCGAATGGTTTGTTTTGGAAGTTTACTGTCACTTCATTGCAGGTCATCCTTGGCTGCAGGTGAATCAGAACAAAATCGATAAGGACAATCAATAGTCTTTGTAAAACCGAACAATAATCCGAGCAAGATTAATCGAGATGCCGATCAAGATGGTAATTGTATAAGCAAATACAGATTGTAACTGAGTTTGTGGCCATGATATACAGATTTTGGTATGAATTACGAATCAAAGTAAGTAGAGCAATCAAATTAGGAAGGCAGAGCCAGTTTTGTTAATATGAGAATTTTGCTATGCATGTGTATTATATGAGAAAGTTGTTTTATTGTGACATACATTACTTGTTTAATAAATATGTTGATAGGCAATAGTATTGTTCTAATATTCAATTTATAGTATGCATATATTTAGGTAATTTTATGTATACGTGGACAACAAGACAGACTCCTTTGTAGATTGACTTATATATTGTCAATTACCGAACAACCCTCGCCAAGGGGGAAATTCATTTATTAGATTTGTACAAGGTACCAGTCATAACTAAAAAACATCTCGTAATTCTTTTTTTTTCTTTTTTCTTTTTTCTCGATTGATATACGGAATAGCTAGGTGAATCGGTTAAGGGTGGTCAGCTCGAGTAGACCGATTCAAAGGAACTTAGGCTCGGTATTTCGCGTCCAACCCAGTTAGGGAGCTCACTGATGCAACTCACGGTACTGGTCGACCTGATAAAACTGGTATGTAGGTCGGGAACCTCCAAGAGCTCGATTACATGCAGTGACCTCGTCGCACAGAGATCATAAAGTTGGAGGTCGAGGTATCGACCTTGTACAAACTGATGAAAGGTAGGTCGAGAGGTCAGGGCTGCGACTTACGAACCTGAGTGCCATATGAAGAGGAAGTAAGATCATGGGATGAAGAAAATTGTATCTCAGCAAGATCTAGAGGCATGGTAAGTAGTGCTGCAAACGAATCGAACCGAACCGAACTTGGACTGTTCGAGCTCGAGTTCGACTAATGTTCGAGCTTGTTCGAGTTCGTTCATTTACTAGTCGAGCCTAAATTCATGTTTGTTTTCGTTCGTTTAGTTGTTCGTTAAGTTCGTGTTCAACTCGTTTAGCTAATCAAAATTATTTATACTTTTCGAGCATTCGATTAGCTTGAATTGTTCGAATAGTTCGATTATCAAAACTTAAGAAATGCTTATTTATTATTATTATTATTATTATTATTATTAAAAAACTTGTTGTTCACAAACACTCGTTTATGTTCGCGAACGTGTTCGTGTTCGTTCGAATAATAAACGAGCTGAATTATATGTTCGAGCTCCGCTCGAGACGAGCGCCCTAAACAAACACGAACAAGCTTGAAAAAGCTTCATTCATGAACGTTCGGTTCGTTTGTAGGCATATAAAAGAGTTGGAAGCATGATACATAACGGAGCTGTGGACGTGGCATCATTGGCGTAATTGATGTTACTGGTTTGATTTGATGGTGAACTTGCAAAAGGTGTTAGTGAAAACCGGTGTCGAGGATCCCGAGAGCAGAATGGTTGTTTTCGTCACGGTGCACGCGAAAACAAAACAACGGTGGTGGCGTCGTGTCCGGCAGAGCGAGCCGAAATGGAACAATTCTCCTGAATATTGGGCACATGCTTTTCAAGCTCATGATTCATTTTCGAAATGGTGAACAATTGCTATATTCGTTTCATCTGGTAATTTTTTGTTTTCAATTATGAACAACTCCGACAATTGTGGATGAGATGTAAAGTCCAAAAAAATATCTTACAATGTTACTTACATTCATGCTCTCTCAACTCATGCCCACTTAATTGTTATGGAAATGCTACGGTCCCGTTACGGAACCATTCCGTCGGGGTTTATAACTGTTAGATCATCATGTAATCGTTGAGGATAGTTGATCGAACGATTACAAACCCCGACGGAATTGTTCCGTAATAGGACCGTAGCATCTCTCTAATTGTTATAGTTGTTAGACATGGTAATAGGTATTTAAGCACTTAATTCTTTGTAGCTAGGATTGTTGACCGTCTTTTCTCCTGTTCAAGCTCAACTGGGGAAATGAATGCAAAATAATATAGCAGTAAGCTTGCAATTGAGTTATCAACATTTAACATTAGTTTGATACCATCATCCATCTGTTCCAGTCTTCCAGAAGGCTACACACCTTTTCAGTCCACTGAAACTATTGGATGATGGTATCAAATATTGATTACTCAACTGCAAGCTTACCGTTACATTAGTTTGCATTCAATTCTTGGAAATTGAGTAAGAATTCAGAAGATGACTAAGTCTGTGTAAACGTTCTCTTTATTTTCGCTTGTTCAAGCTCAACCGGGATTGTTGACCATCCTTTCCCCTGTTTTATTTTGGTTCGGCTTTAACGTTAGGTACTTTTTTTTTTCAATAAAATTACTAAATAATAAAAAAAAAAAAACTGGAAACGTCGGAACTTGCCCGGAATAGGCAAAAAGTGGCTAGCCCGGCCCATAGAGATACTAACCCAGGCCGAAAGTCTAGCCCACCCATCAGGCCTATTTGACTATTCCGTGGGCCCAATGAAAATATCTCCTCCAACCTATGAGTTGTGCCATTGATATATTTCCGTTTGTGTGAACAATTTTTGTTGGCAAAAGAAATTTGGCGGAACTATTAATATAAAGTGATGTGATGTAATAAATAATAAATAATGAAATGTGATAGGAATATAGTGAAATAATAATTCATATTTATAACAATGTTTATGGATGGGATATTTATAGATAAATGTGTAGTCATAATTAAGAAAGATGATATGATGCAATAATGAATAATGTATTTTTAATGGGTAATGATAAAATTACTTAAAAAATACATCAAATCCCTCCCTCAACAAAATGAATAATGAATAATGTACTTTTAACTCACGAAAGGAATGGGTAATGAATAATGAATAATGAAAAATGTATTTTTAATTCACGAAATGAAAGAAATAGATATCACAAAATTCGAAGAAAATAACAATAATCACTAAAAAGAAATTTGTGGCTATTGACAAATGCAATTATTTTGCACATGATTGTAGGGTGCTTTATTATCCAGAACCCAATTCTTCTTGTTGATTGGTTGACTTATATATATAATTTTTAATTATTCCTCCAGTCATTTGGACAACACATACAAATGTTAAGTTCATGCAATAATGCACCTGTGGGGTTTTACCCAAAAATGGTGTTTATACCTGATTAAGCTAATGATTTGGCCCCGATCTTTCACAATCAACAATATATGCTCCGATTTTGATGATAATAAAATGTGCCATTTCTATTGCATTTTGGGCCACTCGATCCAAGTAAATATTATATCTCAAGTGTTCCAAGCAATCATGTAATTAACTTTTGGAGATATAATGAATCCTATGCTTCTTTGATTAGCTTTAGAAATTGAAAAGTATAACCATTTCAGAGTGATAAATTACTGTTGTGATTGAAGGTATTTGTCATATCATGGTGTGTGCATTGTATTAGTTGATTTAATCATTGCTTTTCATTAAATATGGTGATTGAGTCCCACGTCAATCTCTTCATCATATCCTCAAAATGTTATTGTTGATGACCGACTTGATTTCCCGTAATTAATCAAAGATTGATCATCTTACCTTATTAATGGTCCATTGAAATTATTCTCAGCAGCCAACTTAGTTCAAGTCTGTACAACTGAACAAACCACCGACTTTGGGACAAGTAAAGAAAACCGACTTCACACTAAAAGACAGAGGAAGACGTCAGAGGAAGACAATCTCGCATACGTTTATATTAAAAATCCGAGGTCTGGGAATATCGAATTTCGAAGCAAGAGACGTTGTATGCTTATGATTGGACCAACAAAATCAAGGAATAACCATTGATGTTCCCTTATTCCATCACACGCTGCTTTATTGAAGCAGCTCAACATTAAATGCGATCTAATCTACCTCGAACAAGAAGACAAAATCACCGTACTATAAATAGCAGAATTTATTACTGTACGGGGATCCTTTTTTCGCACATTGTACATAGACTGAAAAACATCTCGGTTATGAACACAAAAACCGACTTCATGTACTTTTGTGAAATGATCAATAATACATAAACTTATGTTTTTTCTTTTTAAATACACCTTGTTGTTTGTTAATTTGAGTTGTTAAATTTCATACAACAACAGTTATACTTGACATTACCTACATATACTAAGATTGATTCACGTTCATGAAGGTTTTTCTGAAGTATATGAGGAATTGAATAAGAAAGTATATTGGTGCTGGTACTTGAAAAAGAAAATTTTGAATTGGGGTGAGTAAATTGCATATTTCGTGTACAACGTGAATTTACTGAAAAGGGACTGTCATTCTCTGATGAGTTCAGCATATTTGAGTTGGATTTGTATGGATTGTTATCATTACAACTCAGAGAAATATAAGACAGAGGTCTATATATATATATATATATATATATATTTGTGATGAAGGTGTAATAGATAAAGATAACTGATAAAATACTTTAATACATGACAACACTTCTTGAAATGAATGACAAATACAATCAAATCATGAGAAGATAAAATTAGTGTGCAAATGAGTTGTTATATTTCTTTAATAAAACTAATTGTTATTATACTATCATCACACTCAATATTTAAAAGTACTAATTATTATTAAATAATTATTATTATTTTTATATCATATCAACGCTAAGCACAATATATTTCTTTATATTTGTTCATAATTTCAAATCTATTTTTGATTTCTAAAAATAACTTGTCCACTTTTCTAAATGATACAAAATCTTTCCATCCAATGATCAATTTCCTAATAATGCTTTATTATTTATTCTCTAGAAATAGTTGAAGCATCAATAATCAATAATAAATGAAAATGATGGAATCAAAATTTCCATTTGTGCAAGACAGCCATGACTACAACGTACCACCCACACAAGACAATCCCATACCCCGCGCCTCCAACCACAAATTATAGAGCCTCGGGTCATCATCCGACGTGGATATCTGTTTGACTCCTGATTGACGGTCCTGATTCGCCCGCGCGAGCAATCTGCACCGCTGGATCATACCACCACCAACACCATGTTCGGACAGCTCACGATCGACGGTTGGCGGTGAACAGGTCAGCTGCTGGACAAATCACGTTGCTCCATCGTGCCACGTCGGCCGAGCCCACGACAACACAAATCATCTCAATTTTGTAGCCCCCACGTTCTCCTACAGTACTCACTGTTTCAACATTATGGCCGCAGTTTTACCATATTGCCCCTCCATCAGTTTTACTGAAATTGATTTATTTG